TGGTGATAGTGGACATCCCTGCCGCGTTCCTGACCTTAGGGGAAAGGCTCTCAGCTTTTCCCCATTGAGAATGATATTCGCTGTAGGTTTTTCATAGATGTCTTTTATGATATTGAGGTATGTACCCTCTATCCCTATACTCTGAAGAGTTTTGATCAAGAAAGGATGCTGTACTTTGTCAAATGCTTTTTCTGCATCTATTGAGAGGATCATATGATTCTTGTTCTTTCTTTTGTTAATGTATTGTATCACGTTGATTGATTTGCGGATGTTGAACCAGCCTTGCAGCCCAGGGATAAATCCCACTTGGTCATGGTGAATAATCCTTTTAATGTACTGTTGGATCCTATTGGCTAGTATTTTGGTGAGAATTTTTGCATCCGTGTTCATCAAGGATATTGGTCTGTAATTCTCCTTTTTGATGGGGTCTTTGTCTGGTTTGGGGATCAAGGTAATGGTGGCCTCATAAAATGAGTTTGGAAGTTTTCCTTCCATTTCTATTTTTTTGAACAGTTTCAGGAGAATAGGTATTAGTTCTTCTTTAAATGTCTGATAGAATTCCCCTGGGAAGCCATCTGGCCCTGGGCTCTTGTTTGTTGGGAGATTTTTGATGACTGCTTCAGTTTCCTCAGTGGTTATAGGTCTGTTCAGGTTTTCTATTTCTTCCTGGTTCAATTTTGGTAGTTGATACATCTCTAGGAATGCACCCATTTCTTCCAGGTTATCTAATTTGCTGGCATAGAGTTGCTCATAGTATGTTCTTATAATTGTTTGTATTTCTTTGGTGTTGGTTGTGATCTCTCCTCTTTCATTCATGATTTCATTGATTTGGGTCATTTCTCTTTTCTTTTTGATAAGTCTGGCCAGGGGTTTATCAATCTTGTGAATTCTTCCAAAGAACCAGCTCCTAGTTTCGTTGATCTGTTCTACTGTTCTTTCGGTTTCTAGTTCATTGATTTCTGCTCTGATCTTTATTATTTCTCTTCTCCTGCTGGGTTTAGGCTTGATTTGCTGTTCTTTCTCCAGCTCCTTTAGGTGTAGGGTTAGGTTGTGTATTTGAGACCTTTCTTGTTTCTTGAGAAAGGCTTGTATTGCTATATACTTTCCTCTCAGGACTGCCTTTGCTGTATCCCAAAGGTTTCGAACAGTTGGTGTTTTCATTTTCACTGGTTTCCATGAATTTTTTAAATTCTTCTTTAATTTCCTGGTGGACCCATTCATTCTTTAGTAGGATGCTCTTTAGCCTCCATGTATTTGAGTTCTTTCCGACTTTCCTCTTGTGATTGAGTTCTAGTTTCAAAGCATTGTGGTCTGAAAATATGCAGGGAATGATCCCAATCTTTTGGTACCGGTTGAGACCTTATTTGTGACCTAGGATGTGATCAATTCTGGAGAATGTTCCATGGGCACTAGAGAAGAATGTGTATTCTGTTGCTTTGGGATGGAATGTTCCGAATATGTCTGTAAAGTCCATTTGGTCCAGTGTGTCATTTAAAGTCTTTATTTCCTTGTTGATCTTTTGCTTAGATGATCTGTCCATTTCAGTCAGGGGGGTGTTAAAGTCCCCCACTATTATTGTATTGTTGTCAATGTGTTTCTTTGCTTTTGTTATTAATTGCCTTATATAATTGGCTGCTCCCACATTAGGGGCATAGATATTTACAAATGTTAGATCTTCTTGTTGGATAGACCCTTTAAGTAGGATATAGTGTCCTTCTTCATCTCTTATTACAGTCTTTGTTTTAAAATCTAATTTGTCTGATATAAGAATTGCCACCCCAGCTTTCTTTTGGTGTCCATTAGCATGGTAAATGGTCTTCCACCCCCTCACTCTCAATCTGGGGGTGTCTTTGGGTCTAAAATGAGTCTCTTGCAGACAGCATATGGATGGGTCTTATTTTTTAATCCAATCTGATAGCCTGTGTCTTTTGATTGGGGCATTTAGCCCATTTCCATTCAGGGTAACTATTGAAAGGTATGAATTTAGTGCCATTGTATTGCCTGTAAGGTGACTGTTACTGTATATTGTCTGTGTTCCTTTCTGGTCTATGCTGCTTTTAGGCTCTCTTTTTGCTTAGAGGACCTCTTTCAATATTTCTTGTAGGGCTGGTTTTGTGTTTGCAAATTCCTTTAGTTTTTGTTTGTCCTGGAAGCTTTTTATCTCTCCTTCTATTTTCAATGATAGCCTAGCTGGATATAGTATTCTTGGCTGCATATTTTTCTCGTTTAGTGCTCTGAAGATATCATGCCAGTCCTTTCTGGCCTGCCAGGTCTCTGTGGATAGGTCTGTTGCCAATCTAATGTTTCTACCATTGTAGGTTACATATCTCTTCTCCCGAGCTGCTTTCAGGATTTTCTCTTTGTCTCTGAGACTCATAAGTTTTACTATTAGATGTCGGGGTGTTGACCTATTTTTATTGATTTTGAGAGGGGTTCTCTGTGCCTCCTGGATTTTGATGCCTGTTTCCTTCCCCACATTAGGGAAGTTCTCTGCTATTATTTGCTCCAATATACCTTCTGCCCCTCTCTATCTTTCTTCTTCTTCTGGGATCCCAATTATTCTAATGTTGTTGTTTCGTCTTATCGTATTGCTTATCTCTCAATTTCTGCCCTCATGATCCTGTAGTTGTTTCTCTCTCTTTTTCTCAGCCTCTTTATTTTCCATCATTTGGTCTTCTATATTGCTGATTCTTTCTTCTGCCTCATTTATCCTAGCTGTTAGTGCCCCCATTTTTTATTGTACCTCATTAATAGCCTTTTTGATTTCGACTTGGTTAGATTTTTAGTTCTTTTATTTCTCCAGAAAGGGTTTCTCTAATAACTTCCACACTTTTTTCAAGCCCAGCTAGTATCTTTAAAATCATGATTCTGAACTCTAGGTCCAACATCGTACTACTGTCAGTATTGAGTAGGTCCCTGGCAGACGGTACTACCTCTTGTTCTTTTTGCTGAGGTGATTTTTTTCATCTTGTCATTTTGTCCAGAGGAGAACAGATGAATGAGAGAACAGAATGCTAACAGGTTAACAACGTCTCCAGCAAATATACTCTATAGAAATCAGAAAAGACCTGAAATCAGGGGACAAGAAAGGGAAGGAAAAAAAAGGAAAAAGGAAAAGATAAAAACAAACAGAAACAGAACAAAACAAAAAAAAACAGAATATGATCAAATATGATCAGGCTAGTGCATAGATCAGTGCCACACACTAGCTTTTGGGCATATTTTGGTCTGTTAGAAGAAAGTGCCTGCTAAAATTTTAAGGGAAGAAAGACATATATGTACAAAATAAGGGTTGATACAATGAAGGGATGGAAGATGACTGTAAAGATGAAAATTATAAAAGATTTTATAAAAGGAATTGATAAGATAAGTTGTTTTTAAAAAGAAAGAAGATTTAAAAAGAAAAAAGAAAAAAAGAAAAAAAAAGGGAGAGAATGTGATCAGGGAGGAGACTAGAACAAAGCCATACACTAGTGATTTAGGGTATATTTTGATCTGTTAGAAGAAATTGTATCTCAAAATTTTAAAGAGAGAACAACTTATATATATATGCCAAAAATAAGGGTAACTACTATGAAGGGATAAAAATATGACTCTAAAAATGAAAAATAAAAAATCTTTTTTTTAAAAAGGGATTGATAAGGTGTTGTTTGAAAAAGGGAAAAAGAAAAATTCAAAAAAAAGTTAAAAAAATTAACTTTGAAAAACTAATGAATTATGGTGAAAAAGCCATGAATTCTATGTGCAGTATTCCCCTAGCGAAGGAGTTCTCCCATTCTCTTTGATTGGTAAACTTGGTCTTGGCTTGCTGGCTGTTCATGCTGATCTTCTGGGGGAGGGGCCTGTTGCCGTGGTTCCCAAATGTCTTTGCCGGAGGCGCAATTGCCCCGCCCTTGTCGGTCCGGGCTAAGCAAGCTGCTCCGGTTTGCTCTCAGGAGCTTTTGTTCCCTGCAAGCTCTCGGTACAGCTTTGGAGGACCAGGGTGAGAATGGTGGCCTCCCAATCTCTGCCCGGAGGAGCTGAGAACTCGGGGCCCCGCTCCTCAGTGAGCCCCCAGAGAAAAGCTGTCACTCCTGTCTCCCTGGTCTCCGGCCGCACTGCGTGCTCACCCGGCCTGTGACCGAGCGTTTCTATCTCTGGCACCTGACCCCGTGTGGAGTCTCCAAACCCAGCAGATCCCTGCGGTGCGTTCCCGCGCTGCTCCTCCCCAGGGAGGAAGGGGAGTCTCCCCGGCTCTGCCGCTTGTTGGGTCCCTGCTGGAGGAGCAGTGGCCCGACTGGGCCGCGGATCACAGTTTATGGCCACCCCGAGCTGAGAGCCTGCGCCTCGCCTCCGTCTCTGCAGCCGGCTTCCCCACTCCGATACCTGGGAGCTCTGCTGCACTCAGGCACCCCCAGTCTTTCTGTGACCCCGAGGGTCCTGAGACCACACTGTCCCACGAGGGTTCCACCCCCCGCTTAGCCACTGGAGCGATGTCCCTCAGCGGAGCCGACTTCTAAAAGTTCCGATTTTGTGCTCCGCGGCTCTATCACTTGCCAGAAGCGGCCGACGGAGGCCCCCTCCCCCGCCATCTATCCTCCCGAATATCGCCTCGGATTCACTTCTCCGCACGTCCTACCTTCCAGAAAGTGGTCGCTTTTCTGTTCAGAGTGTTGTTACTCTTCTTATCTTCGATTTCCTGTTGAGTTCGTAGGTGTTCAGAATGGTTTGATCCCTATTCAGCTGAATTCCTGAGACCAGACGAAATCCAGGTCTCCTACTCCTCTGCCATCTTGCTCCGCCCTGCTCCTTCATCTTCTAACTGGTGAAGGCATTAGACCTGCTCAATGTCCTGTGGTCTCCCCAGCACTGTCCGGTTGGTCCTTCACATGGTTGGCACCTGAAGAGATACCCAAGGGGTGGCTGATGTTCAGAGGCATCAAATAAGGGCCCCCCACCTCTGCAGCTCATGAAGCCGGCTGGACATTCTCACTTTTCCTTCCCCACATGCTTGTTTGCAGAGGCAAGTGCTCAAGGAAGTCAAGACAGCAGGACTGTTGCCATCATGCGGTACGAGCACAGTGAGCTGCTGTCCCCGAGGAGTGACAAGGCAGACGGTGAATACATCGACCATCACACACCCCCCAGCACTGTGGTGCATGGAGGGAGAATCGCTGGGTTCAGATGTGTGGTTCATGGTGAGTGGCAAAGAGCCAGATGGGAACAAGTGGAGTTCGGGGTCCTGGGGCAGGATGCTTCTGATGGTTGCTCATTGCATTTTGAATACAACCCACCCACCTCCGCACCCCAAGTGTGCTGGGGGGCCCTCATTCTGGAAGGGTTCTCTATGCCCCCCTCCAAAAGAATGTTTAATACTCAGAAAAACGTATTGGTTTCCAGGTACCAGGGTACCCATGGTACAAAGTTTGTCTGGACATCATGCCCCCACAGCACACCACCTGTGAATAAGGAGTGCCAGAGATTTCTACACTGTTCCCATCACAGGGTGCTTCAGAGAGACCTCAGAGCAGGGATAATAAAGTACAGGCCCAGTGACTCTCTTCTCTGTCCCCGAAGGCGGTAGGAATGGGAGGTTTCCCTCAATCCACAGCTACTCTTTACGGCCCTGGTGAGCCATTCGGCTTCCTCGAGAGCCATTCACAGCACTGATACCCCCGGGTTTTAAGGATGGGGACACAGAGCGGTGATGAAGGACCAGGGATGGGCCTGCAGAAGGAAGTGCTTTCGTGGCAGCCCCCCATCCCCAACTTGTCCTCTCTGGCTTTGGGCAGCCACTGCCACCCTCTTGTTTCCTGGAAGCCTCATGCGAACGGGTCCGGAGGGCATTAAGCTTTCGAGGCAAGGCAGCAGTTTCTGTCTGTTAAAGAGTTTAGCTCTAGTTATTTTTATTAGACAGTATCTTTTGAGTGTTGCCTGAGCCCTTGGCGTTGGGTGCTGTCCCGATGCCTGAAGACTTCCCTCTAGCTCAATCCCAGAATCTGAGGTCGAGGGAATGATCAGCACCCTTCCATTCAATTCTGAGGGGAGACAGGGTAAAACATCCCTTACTTGGATTGGGGCTCTGGGGGAATCTTGGACTCTGGGGCATGACTTTCCACCATTACTCAGAGGCATTGCCCTGCCCGCCCCACGGCCTCCCTTCCTACAGCTGCATGTTTCTGAGTGACGTTCGATCTTTGATGTTATTACAGTATGGGATTGTAATGTTCATCTTACATATGGGATTGTAATGTTCATAGGTTCATTCAACGGCATCTCTTGGAAAACTGTTGATGCTCCAGGGAAACAGAGAGTGGAGGCCAGGCCCTAGGTTGGGATCTGTCAGTGCGTGCTGAACTAAGGCCATGAGTCCCTGCCTCATACAGCCTGCATTTTAGTAGTGGAAGACAGACAACATGCAGCAAAATAAATAAGATTACTTTAGGCAGTGACAAACATTGGGAAGAAAATAAAGAACTGAGTGATAGAGAAGAGGGCCAGTGAAGTCTTCTTTGCGGCCGCAGCATTTGAGCTGAAGTGTGCAGGAAGGACCAAGGCTGGCCATGAGGCTACCACGGGCACTTCCAGACAGCGCCATGGCTGAAGGCAAACATGAGCTTGGCAAGTTCAAAGAAGACTAAGAAGGCCACTGTGTCTAAAGAGGGGTGGACGAGGAAGGGACCAGTAGGGGAGGAAGTCAGAGTGGTCTTGAGCTTTCCTAGCCCCATACAGAAAGTCTGAGCATAAGTAAGGGGCAAGGCAGGGCGCTGCTGGGCTCCATGAGAATGTTCCCCAGGAGAAGGTCTCTGGCACTTGCGTTCCGAAATGACTGCCCCACAAACAGCTCAGGATGGGAGGTCTAAGAACTCTTTGTGCTCCAAGAAGGTGAACAAACTCATTTTTCAAACTTGTGCTACATGGGGATCCCTCCACAGAAGAAACCAACAGGTCTGGGCCTTCCTGCTTAAAAAGGAGACAGAAGTTTCTTAGGTAGGCCCCTGATTCCATATCTCCTCCAGCTGCTGCTTTCTTGGGCATAAACCAGCATCAACAACTACAGGAGGAGAAACTGAGGCCACTTCAGTTTGGGGGGTGAAAACGGGATGGGTAGAGAACAGGCATTTGTTGGGCAACTAGCTAGTGCTGGGCATTTTACCCACTTTTATCTCATCTGATACAACAGTCCCTTGACTATTCCCATAACAGAGGTAAGAAACTTGAAGTTCACAAAGGTGATAGAATTTAGACGAAGTCCCACAAGTAGTAAGTGGAAGAAGTAGAACTGCATCTTTGTGCTTGTTTGTCTCAGGCAGCCCGTGTCCATGTGAGCAATGGACCAAAAGGCCTTCAGTTTCCCCAGGTGGTAGACTGCTGCGTGTGGACCTCCGGGCTTCACGGTGGCTCCGCCATGTTTCTCTCAGATCCTCTGGGCCCCAGCTGAGCAGCTTTCTGGTTGTTGGGTGTGATCAGCAGGTGCATTTGTGAGGACCAGCTCATACCCTGAGGGGATATGATAAACTGTGGTGTGAGCCAGATGTTTGGAAATGAGGACAAAGCCAGCCAGGCCACTGGACCTCACTCTGGCTACCCAAACTCAGACCTACCAAATCAGAAATTGCTTTTCACAGCTTCCCCAGAGAATTTGAGTTTGGATTTACCATGACACAGGCTTCTTCCTTATCTGTGATGATTGGCACCAGACCTAGAATTTCACCTTGAAGGATTTGGGACACCTGCTCCCAGGGCCTGCCTTGTCCTTGTGATGTAGGTGTCAGTTCTTGTAGGTTTGGGGCTACAACTGATAATGTTGTGCTTAGCTCTGAGGTAGGGGAGGGCTGCCAGAGGGTCTCTGCAGGAGCCCCTACTCTCACCTCCAGCCTTGGGGCCATCCCACCTGGCCCCTCTGTGGGCCCCGTGCTTCCACTAGTAGCCAAAACCTGCCAGGACCCGGAAGGTTAGGTTGCTGGCTCTTCCTACCTCCGAGATCTGCATGTTTCCCCACCTCTAGGCAGTCAGGAGGACATTCAAGGCTCACCTCATTGATCACATCTGCCATCAACCTCACCAGGTTGTCAACTGGTTGCCAAACTTAGGATCGCTTTCCAGGGGCGTGCATTTCCATCTGACTTGGCTCCCAGATGTGGGAAGCAGGCGCTCCCCCTGTGTCCCCCTCCCCTGTGAGGACCACCACTCCTGAAAAATATCTTATGGGCCTCAGCAGCACACGGAGCTGCAGAGGCCAGGCGTGAACCACAAAGACCCCTCTCTGAGGGCCAGCTGAGATGTGATGCTCACCCCTTCCCTTGGCCCTCTTTCAAAGCGGGGAGCTCACTGAATCTCTGTGGGGCCCAGCCAAAGTGTCTGCCCTGGCAATAGGAAACACTCCAGCAGGACCCAGGCCTGCAGGCTGCACCCAGGACCTCATTTGCACTTCAATAACATGCTTTTCTTTTACTCCACTATGGATTTGGGTGTTAGATGTGTCAGTGGAGAGACTCCCTGGTGCAATTAAACGGGAGTATTGAGCCGGAGAGAAATCAGTGTGTGTTGACTCAGATATTTGAGCAACCACCTTTCAGTATTGACTAAAAAATTGGCCTTCCAGCTGTCCCTGCTGGCAGGCTCTTCTGGCATCTCATCAGACCCCTGTTAATGTGTTTTTCAAATTTCAGCTTGCTTCAACTTGTCTCCTAACTGATTCTCCCGACAATTAGAATAATGGGTTCCAGGCTGACCTGCATGCAGCACTTAGGCACGCAGCCCAGGCTCCTCTCTGGAGGTGACCCCTTCTTATAAATCAGTCCAAGGGGGTCCACTTGCCGGGTTCATGGCAGGTTAAGTCGGTTTGGAGGACTTTGTACACCCACTCCTAATTGTTCCTCTGGAGCATGTTAGTGGCAGGGGTCTCTCTCTGAGTTCAGTGGTCTACCTGCTGGGGGCTTTGCCGATTCCCTCAAATCTGACTCACCCTTCCCGACAGGAGGAAGAACTTCCCCACCCTGAGCAATCCCCCTAGGGAGGGAGTCTTGCATAAGGTTGTGGTCACTTAATTGGCAGGTCCTTGCCCCTCACTTTGCAGAGTCTTGACAATACAAGTGCCTTTCCCAGACGTGTCCAGTGAGCTGGGGCCCAGCTGGTTCGGAGCCAGGCTAAAGAGCCTGGGCCTGTATTCCTGGCCCCCAGGCCTTTCAGCGGCAGCCTTTCTGAGCCTTCGTAAGCATGGCCGTCAAATCTTCCTGACCTTTTCTACTCGGGGCTGACGAATGGCACAGTTGTTCTGTTTGTTTTTGCTAGAGGACTGGTATTCATATTTATTTATTAATATGCAAGTATAGTTGGCACACAATGCCACATCAGTTTCAGGTGCACTACACAGTGATCGGACAAGTGTCTACGTTATGCTGTGCTCACCACCACGTAGCTGCCATCTATGACCAGGCAGTGTTCTTAGGGTACCATTGACTATATTCCTATGCTCTGCCTCTTATCCCCGAGGCATAACTGTTTTTAACCTCAGGCTTTCTAGAAGTTGAGCTGTTAACCCAACAATGTTCTGTAGAAGGAAGATCCTGGGAAGTATGAACGAACTCTTGGCAAATGAGGGGTTTACTAATGGAAGAACATCGTCAGTGTTAGGGCTGGCCTCTCAAGTCCTTTGTTGTCAGCCTTGTTATCATCGACTGGGATGTGGCACATCAGGAGCCAGTCGGCATGGGAAGGCAGTGGGTGGCAAGGCATCAGACTCAGATGGCTGGGCCTCACCCCAGAAGTGACTCAGTAGGCTGGGGGTGGGGGTGTCTTTCAACTTTGATTTATTAACCATCTCCAAAGGGTTTTCTGATGAGCTGCCAGGCTAGGGGACCACCATCATGGTGGAATGAGAATTAGCTTAAAATCGGAATTCCTGGGCCTGTGTCCACGGCCTGGCTCCCAGTAACCAGCTGTGTCACTTTGGGCAAGTCCTCTTTGCTTCATTTTCTCAAACTGAAAGAAGACTGCCTGCTTTACCCAGTCACTTTGAGGAATATATGAGATGCTATGTATTATCTGGAAACTGTAAAGTGCAGAAGACATGTCCTGTATGCCAACCGCTTCGTCAATTAGGGACCCTATGGTGGGGAATTCACTCACTTAACAAATATGTGATGGCAGGAACAGATGGATCAAGGATGTGGCCTCTGCTCTGGTCTCTGGAGAATGCAGGGGCTTCTGGAAGCTGGAGATCTGGTTCCTCCAGGTCATGGCCTCTTTTGCCCATGGATAGAAATAGGAGACAAGGGGGAGGGTGATGCTAGAATGGCAGCCACCCTCACCAAACCTGGAGACCCCATTGCACCACTTGTATAACTAGGATAAAATTCTCTCCCTGGTGGAGTTTCCCCCAAAAAAGATCACTTCTAGAATTTGTGGCCCCTTTCTCTGTTCACACCTACAAACAGTATGGTGTGGCCAGCCTGACCTTCCC